GAGGGCCCCTCTCAGCTGGGGCTCCTCTCCAGCCTGGACAGCCCCAGCTCCCTCAGCCTTTCCCTGGCACAGATGCTCCAGGCCCTGAATCATCTCTGCAGCCTCTGCTGGCCTCGCTCCAGGAGCTCCCTGTCCCTCCTGTGCTGATGATCCCAGAGCTGGACACAGCTGGCCAGATGTGCCTCCAGGGCTTGGCAGAGGGGCAGGATCATTCCCTGGCCTGCTGGAAATGCTCTTGTTAATGCACGTCCTTCAGTACAGCCCAGATACTGGGAACTGTTTGGTCTTCTTCAGTAAAAAGCCTGGACACCCTGATTTTTTTTGCAAAACCTAGTCACAGGAAAATGCACTCTGGTTTCATCCCGGCAGAACCAGGGCATGGCCAGAACATATCCACAGACTTGGAAACAGTCTTGTGCAGACAGTAGCTATAGTTGCTGTGAATGTAAAAGAGAAGACTTTAGTTCCTCAATAACATTTACTGTAAAATGGAAAGCTTCTGGTTGAAAAGTAATTTTAAACACTTTTGCTCTGAACTGTTACAAAGACAGACAAACTAGCAGATAGAACAACACAAAGCATTCTGTGCAATAATTCCATATAACGTATTTGGGACTGCTAAGATTTCCCAAGGATGAAGTAATTTTCTAGAGGTTTTAAATTTATTTTTCAGTAACAAAAAAAATCAGGTAATAGAAGTAAAAATATAGCAAGCAGAGAGGTGGCAGAGATAACATACTTAAGTGTTTCCAAGACTTGGATAGACAGTCATGGCTGACCAGATCTAGTGGTGGTGAGAGGCAGTGAGTGGTAGGTTGGACTGGAGATCTCCAGAAGTCCTTTTTGTGCCATCTTTCTGTGATTCTGTCAATCCTACTACAGAGCTAGAACTGTGTGTCAGGCAGAGACCTGAAATGGACAGGTGTCAACAAAGGCCTTGCAACTGGGAATTTGCTATTGTTATCACACTCACTACAAGCAGTAGATGGTCTCAACAAGTGGCTCAGAAGTCAGGAAGCTGAGATAATAGTGGAAGTTTGAATTTGGATTTGGAGCAGGTCTTTGTCATCAGACGGGGTTCTGTGTTATCAGACAGGGTATTAACTCTGTGATGACATCTTTCATGGAACCACACTAAGAATTTATTAGTGAGTATTTGAGCTACAGATTTTCAGCCTTCTGTTGCAGCTCATCACCCCCCTATTGTAGCCCCCCCCCCCCGCCCCAGTACTATTTTGCAGGTAAGAATTTTAGTACTAATCACAGCTTGAAGATGGACTATACCATCCACTCGTGCTTCTGTACTGCCAGGGATTTTAACTGCACAATTACACACTGTGTTTGCACAAAAAGACCTGATGCATTCAGTGCACAGGATCTGCTGTGCTTGCTGAATGAGTCCACTGTATATTTTACAATTGTTATTCAGAAATGCCATGTAAAAATAAATGCCTATAAAGGTGCA